TACGGCGCCTTATACGAAAACTTGGTCGTGTTAATTTCTGGGTAAAAACGGCGGCTTTTTTTGAAATCGTCGTTTTTACTTTCTACATCGGTCGGTTCATAACTTCCGCCGTTATTTGTTGGCTATGATTTTACTACTTCGAAATCCTATTTCAATAAGACGTCGGTTTTTTAATTAGGTACGTCGTGGTTTAGGAACAGCCATTTGGATCTCCATTTTTTAGTTGTCTAAGGTGTTATTACACGGCAGTTTTATAAAACTGTCGTCTTTTAAAAAACAACGACGGTTTTCACTTAGACCGTCGTTTTTTTCTGGTCGTCTTTTTCACTTTTTGTAGTAGTGACACAGGATCGAAAAAACTCTGATATAGGCATCCCAATTTAGATTGCAAACTTTGGTATAGGCTTAAGTAAACTCTACATCCTTGTAGATCTAAGTCAATGTCTTGTTTTTTTTACTTCAATTTATTTTTTTATTACTCCATTTACTTAAGTTTACAATGTAAATAAGGAAGCACTCCCAATTTGGATTCAATTAAAAATACTAGAAAAATCAAATTCCCAACAAATCAAAATATGAAAATCCAGTTTTAGTATAAGATACGGTTTATACCAATATTGAAACCTCAATAAGTCAATGTATATTTTAAACTAAAATCTTATAAAACCGTGTTTAATTATTTAAGATGTAAGAAATATAAATCACCAAAAATAACATTGAATTTTTTTTTATATATTTCTATATACTTAGTCAAATTTTGAGAGAACAATTTTTCATATATAACAAAAAGATTTATATCAAGTTCAATCTCACTTAGAAGATTTAAAATACAAAAATATTTATTGATAATTTTTCTCACTTATTAAGTTTTATTATCACAAATTTCAATCTCACTATATTCTCATTCTTTGGTGTTGGTGCTCTCATTTATTGGTGGTGTGCTAGTGCTCTCATTCCTTGGTGGTGTTCTCATTCCCTCACAAGTAATAAGTTAATTTTTTTTCACTACTTTCTAAAAATTCGTGACAAAAAGATATAAAAAAACTCAACAAAAAAAGATATAAAAAACTTAGAAAAAAAATATTAAAAAATCTCAGCCTGGCTAGGCCCTTGGGTGACTCGAACTATCCCATTTGAAACCTTGGCCCGGCCTGGCTTGCCCCCAATGACAAACCCTACTTTTACACACTTCCCAAATGCAATTGTCACAAATTGGACTCCAAGGATTGAACTTTAAAAGAATCACTTTGCAAAACCCGCAAAACACACTTTCTGTCCAAACTGTCTGTAATAAAACGACCACAACTCTCTCCACACACGTCCGAATCACGAACTGCAAAATTTTACATAAAGCTAACATATTTATATTTCCAACAGTATAAGGTTTAGCATC